CTGCCGAGCAGGGAGCCCGATGCGGGACTCGATCCAGGGACTCCAGGAACATGACCTGAGCCGAAGGCAGTCGCTTAACCAACTGAGCCACCCAGGCGCCCTTGATGAGGTATTTTTAAAGTAAGCTAAGTCAGACACATTTTAATCTCTATACATCTCTAGTCTTGGACTTTTTTTTTTTAAGATTTTATGTATTTATTTGAGAGAGAGATCACACAAGCAGGGGGAGCTGCAGGCTCCCCACTGAGCAGGGAGCCGGACGCAGGACCTCAGGGTCGTGACCTGGGCTGAAGGCAGATGCTTAACCCAGACACCCCATAGCCATGGATTTTTACAATTGCATTGAAGTATGTTATTATACTACACTATTGCCTCAGATCCAAAATGTACCTTTTTTTTTTTTTTTTCATTTTTACACTCTGGAAATTGGGATGTCTTATGTTCAATAGGTAATATTCTGTTGTGGTGGTTCTTTTCCTTGAAAGCTGACCTTAAGCCAATAGTGTATTTTGCAACTGATGGAGTCTTACACTTAAGGAAATTGCTTTGTGATGATAACCTAAGGTGATTACTCTTACTCTGAATGCATGTAATGATTGGAAAAGGAACGAGATGATTATATACAGAAGATAATCCAAAAGGCTTCATTAAGATTTATGATACATATGTACATGTGGGTCACTAGGGCCATCACTCTAGTTAATATTTGGCCTTTTTTATGTTTCAACTTACTTTAAAATCCCTCAGATTTGTTCAAATGATAGGATTACCATATTTGCAGTAGCAAAAGATCCCAAAGAGACCAACAAGCCTCTCCAACTAGTTCTCAGAAACCCTCACTCTCATGGCACCTCCTTCTTTTGAGGGCCCTTGTGAATAGCGAGAGTGAGCCATACCGATCACTCTCGGGCGATAGAAGCGCGTTTGCATGTGCTGCTGCATGCCCTTCGAAACTTAACATGTACACACTTAAAATTGGTAGTTATTCAATAAATACCTTCTGGTTCACTGATGTGAAATACAGAACTGTGTTTTAATTAGCGCTGAAATACATTTCTAGGCCCAAGATGGAGCCGTTCCTGCCCAGGTGCTATATCAGCAAATGGAACTTTAGCTAACTTTTGAGTCCCTGTACATGTTCCACTTGACCAGAAATGCAGTATATCCAGTTAGCCAATCCCCCAATGCCAGGCCAACTCTGGGCCTTCTCACCCTAAACAAGGTTGATTGTGTAACCCTGCCAATCAGATATTTTCCATTTTTCTCTTCCTTGTTATTCTTTATCCTATAAAATCTCCCTGCCTTCTGCCCTATTTTGCAGTTCTCCAAAAGGAGACTTCTTCATGAAGTATTACAGTTTGTTTGTATTGGCTAAATTGTTTCCTTTGTTTTTTAACATTAGGTATGCATATAGCTTTTAACATTGGGGGAAAATGAAATTTCTAAAAATGTTCCTTTTTCCTTTTATCCTACCAAAAATCCCTTGAATTAATTTTGGGACTAACTCTGGCATAAATAAAAGCCACCCACAAATTAAACTTTAAAAGTTCTTCTCCCCTTGGACCATAAAAACTAATTTTTTTCTATTTTGGAAGCAAGCATGAAAATTAATCACACCTAAAGGTGGGACACCACTTTCACAAAACATTGGATCTGCGATGGGAAACAGTTGTTAAAAAGAAAAAACAGGCTCAAAATGGAGTCACTTGTGCAAGCCCCACATCAGCAAACCAAGACTTACTATCTAACCAAATTGCAGTGACCTTTAACCAGTCAATTTGGAATTAACCCATCAGTACCAGTGAGGTCATCTGTGTCACAGACCCCCCACCCCCAAGGAAGGTGACCTTCCCTGAAACAATCCACTCTTTGTTACAAACTTCCTTTTTCAGCCCCCTTCTGCCTATAAAAGCCTTCCATTTCGTATGGCTTCTTCCAACTCCTTTCTATTTGCTAGATGGGATGCTGCCCAGTTCATGAATTGTTGAATAAAGCCAATTTGGTCTTTAAATTTACTTAGTTGCATTTTGTTTTTTAACAGTGTACTGTGATGTTAACAGCTGAGGATGTGAAACATTTATCAAGAAACAATTAAATTCACATGACCAAAATTATGGACAACAATTAACTTTAGGAACTATGACAACCTTTAGCAACTATGTAGGAATTTGTTTTGCAAATATTTTAATCATTTAATTGGAAAAATAACAACCCATATGTAACTGAGAAGGAAAAAATATAAGGAAAAAACAAAAAGGACAAGAAAGGGAGGAAAGGAGGAAGAAAGAGGATTTATCTTAAAATATTTAATCAAAATTAAAAATAAAAATTCCTGATCTCTAAAATGGTTTACATTCCAAAAAAGGAAAAGAAATTCTTTGAATGCTGACATTACAACAGGCACAGAATCAGTATTAGATCTTAAAATAAGAATTATTTCTATGCCTATTGTCCACAAATCATGATTAAAAAGCAAACTTCAAATACTACTAAATTCATTTTCTTATTTACTACCTAATTCCATCAGAGCTAATTGAAGATACAATAACCACAGAACTTACAGACAGGAGGAACAAAGTGACCTGTTTTTGCTCATTTTTTTTTAACCACTTATAGACAAAAATTAGAAAAACGATGTAACTTTTCAAAACTAAAATAATGTAAGAAACCTCGCACTCTTTCCTTTAACTGTGAGGATAACTGATATGAATAAAAAACATTCTTTTTTTATTCTTTTCTTATGTTTGGCCCAAAAGCTTCAGGAACTGAAATAATCTCTTCTAGGCTTCACTGAAGAGGGAGAGATATGTGCATAATTTCTACAGCATCAAAACAAAGTTTCATTGAGGTAGGTACAGAGGATTTATCATCAAGAAGCATGTATATGCTTATCACATATGCATGTGATGTTTTAAAAACCCTCTACAAACGTTTTTGAGTTACAAAATGTATGACACATTCTAGCTTATTATCCTAGGTTCAGTTTACCATTATTTGGAGTTCTTATATTTGCACTTTTCCAAGAACCATGGTTAAGAATAAAAGGCATAGGAAACTGATCACTTCCTGTCTCCAATAATGTCATACCCGCCTATGCTTAACTGATTTACAAGCTCAGATAAATGTTATTTTCAGGCAAGCTGTGAATTATATTAATTATATTAAATGACTCTGAAAGAGAAAAAGAAAAGCCATGGCTTAAACTGTTAATGTAAGAAGGCCTTGCTTGAAATTCATGTCAACTTTCCATTCTGCAAAGCAACTCATCCACATAAAAATAGTCAAAAAGGACTTCATTTAATTAGTGATATGTAGACTTCTGCATAGAAAAAGGTTACAAAGTAATGCAAAAAAGACTGGGTACAATAATTTTAAACAAATATTTAAAAAGTATAATTTTGCATAATGTTTAACATTCTCATGTTTATTGCTTTCTCCACACAGCAGAGAAATGAAGTGCATAATAATACATGCTGTGTCTTTATCTTTCAAACATAAAATCTCATGTACTCAATTTTAATGTATTAAGAGATTACTTTGTCATTAAACAGAATAAAAAAAACAAAAGAAAAACACCATTATGTAGCACTAGTCTAGGCATGAACAAAAATAATTTATGTACATCCCATTGCATACATTCATCTTGATTTGGGATCAAATGCAATCATAAGCTTGACAAAGAGCTTTTAAAAATCGTGGCTTTTCTCTTCCCAATGCTCTATCTCTGTCTCATCACCTCCAGAAATGCAACTTTTCCCAAAGGGTGACGAGAATAGACATTACACATTATCAGGACGAAATGAAGAGGGTAAGTATGTAAAAACAGTCCAAATGAAACAATAAATTAACCTAAACTTTTACAAACTGGAGAATTTTCAAGTTGGCATGAATCAAATGGGCACATGGTAGGCAACTGCTTTTAGGTGCACTCTCTATATAAATGCATGGTTTACATAAAGAAGCACCATATTTTGAGCCATGAAAAAAGTGCCTGGGGGCTTGCAGGCAGGGCAGAAATGGTTGTTAATCTGAGCACTGATGGAATAATTGCTTATACCAATGCATTGCTAAATGTCACCACTTGGCAGGCAAGTCTGTACAAAGAAAGCAAACTAAGATAAAACTAGGGTCTTTCAACTTGAAAATTATTTTCAGCAATCCTTTTGGCGAATAAAACCTGTTGGTTTCAACACAGTACTCTTCTCTGGCACTGTATTAAAATGTCTGCAGCCTAATATAAGACTTCTGTCCCTTTCCTTTCTTAACCTAACCTCTACGCTCTTCTTTACTTGTGCAATGTTATATATTCAGAAGAAAACTTTACTAGCTCAGGCACTTATGAAACACGAATTTTTTTTTTTTTCATCTAGTTTAAAGAGAATCCAGTCAGGACTTCCCTCCCCCCCCCCTTCCCCCAATTCAGACATACTGATGTACTGCTGGATGATACAGTCCATATATCTTCCAGGAAACTTCTAAATGAATACAAGTGTGAAGTTTTCAAAAGTTGCTGATGTCAGTTACCAAGCTGCCCTAAACAAAACAAGAGAAAAAAGATAATACCACATTTCCACTTGTGAGGTTTGTGTCTCAAATAGCTTTATTGTTCCTTTGTGGATCTGTAGACATCTGTATGGCTACTTTCAGGGTGCAGAGGTTTAAGCTGACTCGGAAACGAAGGACATTCGGTTACCATTGCAAAAAGTTCAGTGAAAACTTAAAAAGCTCCCACTTCTGTCCCCCAGGGTCGGTAAGGTTTACTGTTTGTTCCACCGCTTGTCTGCTGCGGGCTGGACGTGGCCGACACGGTTAAGGGCGGGCTGATGGCTGTGGCGGCTGCCACGGCTGCAGCTGCGTTAGGGGGAAGCATGGGGAAGGCCCCCGCGAAGGACAGAGGGAAGCTGTGCGCCGCTGCGGTGGCCGCGGCCGCGGCCGCGTGGACAGTGGCGGAGAGGGACAAGAGGGAGGTGGAGAGAGGCGGCACGCAGGGGGCTGCGCTGCCCGTGGCCGGCATCCGAAGGGCGGAGTCGGCGTGGGCGAACGTGGCCGTGAGGAGGGTGGAGCCGTGGGCAGGAGGCACTTCCGAAGCGGTGGAGAGGCGACAAGGCGTAGACTCGGACGCGTGGAGTCCGTTGGGCTGGAGCAGGGCCGCGGGGAGGTGGTGGAAGGCTGCCGCCCAGTGGTGCGGGTGCAGGGGATGGTGGTGGTGGGCCAGAGAGGACGTCATGGCCGCCGCCTCCCGCTGCGAGGCACACGTGCTGAGATGAGAGACCAGTCGCACCCGCAGGGGGTCGGAGGAGTCCAGGCCCTCCACGGAGCTCAGGTACCGGGCCACTTCCGTTAGGCACTCCCGGAAACCAATGCTCATGAAGTCCATGGCCAGAGCGTGTGCGTCAAAGTAGCCTGAGAGGGGGTCGGAGCAAGGGGGGGGGCAGGAGGAGGGAGCGAGAGAAAGCGGTACAGTGACTATGAGTAACCACCGACTGTGCTTCCCTCTGTGCTTCCGAAGAGTCAAGGAGAATGACGACCCTTTCTGAAAATGTTGCCAGTTACTTCTGGTTGTAATTGTTACAGAAGAAAGTATACTTTGCAATTCACATGTGTGACAACACTAGCAATGCTATATACTACAGTTCTTGCAGCTAAATATCACAGCGGGGAAAAGTAATTAAGAACATCCACGTTTCAATACTTCCATTAAAAAAAACAAGGGAGGGGGGGCCTCTCCTTTTGTACTGTGGGATAGTGAAATTCCCTAGTAAACTTTTTCACGGTCGTACAGGATTTCAGTCCCTCTGTCTCTGTCGCATGCGGTGGAGATTAAAGGGTTATTCTGAAACAGCCGCACTCTTGGCATTTGTAACAGATATGAAATGCATCTTAGCAGCTTGAGGACTTTCTTTAAATATGTGCTAGAATCTCTTAATAAATTCATAAATGCTTCTTGACTGTTGTTTTTTTTTTTAGCAAATTACTTGTATGAAAAATTTGATGAAAACAAAAATTTTTTTTTTTTTAATTTGGGGGTTACTAATTTGAAGATCTTATTTTTCTATCAGGCAATATAAGGCTGCTTTACTGATATGAGATTACGATAACTCCTCACTTTCCTAAAATTCAAAGATACCTTTCCTTTACTGGTTAGCTTATATTTTCCTGGCATCCACCCAAGAAAAAACTGTTAATTTTTCAGTGTGTATGCATGTACCACACCCCTCCCACACCTAAGGTTACAACCATAAAAATGGCTGGAGCTGAGTCACATTTATGAGAATCCCTTTTTATCCAAATGTAGTACATTAGATAAAAAATAGTAATGTATCATTATTATCAGTGCCAATTTAGGGTAGAATAATAATCAGACATTTGGGGGAAATGTCACCACTCTGAGTGACCTCTAATGTGTACAAATGTATCCTTTTCAGATTCTTTCTCATTTGCAACTTTTTTTTTTTTTTTTAGCAATTTTCAAATTAAAAATTTATTCAGCTTTGGGATATGGGTATACAGAAATGAAAAATATTACAAAGTTATTTTTACCTAAGGCATTTAATGTATTATCTTTTTCATGTTTCTGCAGATCCAAGTATTACCTGTTTCATTTATCATCTACTAAAAATTAAACCATCTTAATGTGTAATCAAAGCACTTTGGAAAATAGAAGTCACAATATTCAAACTCCTAAAGCTATTATATCAACAGAAATATGGAAGTCTCAAAAAGATATTTGGGGCAAAAATACACACCATTAAAACAGTAACAATAACAGCACAAAGCTGATATAAGAGAATATCATGAAATGTGGAAGATCAGCAACAGAAATAGTTATCATCCCAGGACTTCAGCTTAGATAGCAACAAAATCCCTGGGATTAAGAGAGAAAGCTCTTGCTGAAGAAGACGCCTCCATAGAAAGAGTTCACATGAGAACCCTCAGCGTTCTTTGTCGGGCTTTTCAGGCTTCTAATTTTCATGAGAGAAGGATCAGGCTTCTAATTTTCATGAGAGAAGGATGGATGTAATCCAACAGAAGACAGAGTCCAGAAATACAGAGGGATCTAGAAATTTAGGTTACTCTACTAAATTCTCTTTAGAAGACACTGCAGTACCAAGACACACTGTAAAGAATGGACCAACAGAATGGGAATCCCAGGGGCTTCCAAGAATTTTCATGAGTGGGCACAAAGTGATTGAAATTTGTGATTTGCCAGCTTTGTGTTGTTATATATGGCTGAGTTCTCTGTTGCGTATTAAGGAATATAAATTGTGTAATTCCTATTCTATTGCTGAATGCAGAGGAAAATGATGATGAGCAGCTGTCCCCTAGGAATAATCTTGGGCCAATAATGAAGGCACATGGGTCCATATCACTTCCTCTGTGCCATCACTAATGTATGGCTTTAAGTGAATAAACTCACAACAACCTTGTGAGGTAGACACTATCACTGTCCTCATTTTACAGATGAGGAAACTGGGGCTCAGCAGGGGTTAGTAGTTTACCCAAGTTCACAGAGCTAAAATATGGCCGAGCTAGGATTCGAAACCAGGCAACCCAACTGCAGAGTCTGTGTCCTTCACCACTACACTGTGAGGCCCCACAGCAGCTGTGAGTCTTGGATGATGTGAGCCCCCACGGCCAATCCCTCCTCTTCAAGGCCCATACTTCCTCCTGTGCGATGACCTCTCTGATGACTTGGCCATCAGGCAACTTGTACGGAGCTTGCTTGGAAATATCTGTTCATAAACTATTCTGGGATGAATTTTAGGGCTGTTCAGGTAGCCAAGAATAGCAACCAAGAATGGAACTTAGTTTTTACAATAAGGCATAAGAACAGTATTCCTCTTTAGAAGTATAGCGCATGCCAAATATTTGAAACCCTGGTAAGAATTCTTAGCCTTGTGAACAACACCAAGGGAGGCAGAACAGTCAGACTGCTGTTCCTGCACCATCACCAACTCAATCAGTCTACTATCCTGAGGTGGCAGGTGCAGAATCAAAATCATGGGGCTGCAGGGGCTTTAGAGCTCAGAATGCTAGTGTAGGCCTCACAGTGCAGCAAAGCACTTCTGTCGTGGGTTAAAGGCAAGGCAATGGCCAAGCTAGGCTGGATCACTGGTTTCTACGATTTCATCCAGTTCTCTTCTCTATTATGTAAGAGTTTTTGCATCCTATGCTGAAGGTTAATTTTCATGATAAGAAATCACAATTCCGTACCTATTCAGGATGGTTTCTAGAGAAGGTGCAACTGAGGTTTAGTCAAACCATGGGGGCTTCTCTTTACGTGATCACCGCCCCTCCCCGCACACCTGATACAGGTAAAAGAGAGTAATGCCAGGGCTGATGTTCCACAGGTCCTTGGCAGTATGGTCACATTGGAGTTAAACAGTGAAGTACTTCCACAGCAATTGGTAAACGGCTATTTCCCTCCAGTGCCTTGCCCCTGCTCCGATCTAGGGCAAACTGTGATACTATGTAATGAAAGGATAATGCTGAGCAGAGAAGCTGCCAGGGTTGAGGGCAGCACTTAGCCCTCGTGGTGGTAGTCTCTCCCTACCCAGTTGTCAAATACATTAAATAACAAAAGACTCTTGGTGAAGGTGACTAGCAAAGGCCTGCTTGAAGAGTGAAAAAGATACTAAAGGGCAAAATCAAGTCTGAGTAATGTGTGAGAAGAGGGATCATGAAATCTGAATGAATATTACAGCTTTCAGGATCGCAAGTCTATTTTTAACGTGACATGAGGGGTCCATCTCTGACCTCTGGATGATTCTTTCCTAAATCACTATCTAGTACAGAAGACATCTATCTCTCCAGGGCCCTGGGCCCAGGATACCTGTCCCTGCTTGCTCTCTGCAGGAATGACTCTGCTCCATTAATAGTTTTCAGTACAGAGATTCACTACCTATAGTTCAAATGTTCTGTCTGGTCTAAACCCAAGATCAACCAAAATCTGAAAACAGTGAAGATAATTCTAAAGTCAATTCCTTTGGAACGGCTGCATTAGGTTGAGTCCTAGTCTTGATTTCGGGGGTATCAGAGGATGAGAAAGAAGAAGAGAAAAAGATTGCCTTTAACCTCCTGTTTATGTTTGGATGTTTGCGTGTTTGTTTTGTCTTTCTGTACAGACTCCAGCATGTGTTCCTGAGGTCCCAAACAAATCTCTGACCAGGCTGCTGTGAATGAAGCTTTACTCCCACAGTATTATGAAAGCAAACACAAGCCCAGGGTCAAGTGCTTCTTTTGTTCCGGAAGTTCTTTCCCACGAGTTCAATCCTGCCACTAGCATTGATTTCCACAGCTTTAATCTGGGACCTCCTATCTCAGCTTGTTAAAGAACTGTTCAACTATGACTTTCCTATAATCTTAGGGGGGAAAATGAAAAGAGACAGGTGGCAAGGGGGTAAAAATGAAGTCACCTACTTACCTTTACCCCCAGTTGCCTGAAGCATCTTCAGATGATCTACTGTCATTTGCAGTATTTCGGCTTTCTCTAACTTTGCAGATCCCTGTATAAACAAATAACAAAGTCTTAGAAGTTCTATGGAAACTGAATTGGAACATTTTACACTGGATTTTCAATATTCCTTTTCATTAGAAAATTCTAAGTTTAAATTTTTTCACAGAAACATCTGAGTTCTTGGCAAACTTTACATATAAACAATAATTACTGTGTCACACCTCATGACAGATATTGGCCAATTTATCTTTTAAAGACTAAAAGGTATAACAAATAATTTTTTAATCATAAGAATAATTATACTCCTGGGCACCTAGGTGGCTCAGTTGGTTAAGCGACTGCCTTCGGCTCAGGTCATGATCCTGGAGTCCCTGGATCGAGTCCCGCATCGGGCTCCCTGCTCAGCAGGGAGTCTGCTTCTCCCTCTGACCCTCCCCCCTCTCATGTGCTCTCTCTCATTCTCTCTCAAATAAATAAATAAAATCTTTAAAAAAAAAAAAAAGAATAATTATACTCCTAAGATCGCTCCACTAAAACAATTATAATCGCAAAAATCTCAAACCTTGCATCTAATCTCTACCCTCTATTTCATTAGGGGACATCTAATAGCCTTATATAATGCTGCAGTTCTAGATCAGTTGAATCCCACTCTGAAGGATAAAGAGACAGGATCTTAGCAAATTAGATTTTTCAAAAATAAAAAGTTCTAATAAGTCTTTAAGGCACACCCTGGTAAGCAGAAACAAAAAATAAAAAAGGGAAGACTTTTAAGGGTTTTTTTTCCAAAAATTACCAGCAGGTGTCACTGTGAGTCCCAATATCATAAACAAGAAAGCATAATTTACTACCTATCTAGTAAGCATCAGAAATGCTTAAAGATATTAGAACACTTTAAAATAGTTCTTAATAAAATATCTTGGAAATATATTTATATGTCCTACTTTTTAAAATCAAGCAACCTCTGGAAACCAACTGAAATACAGATGTGCCACCTTGAACTGCCTCAGAGGACTGTGGGTGGCTGCTAATTTCCTGGAAAAGCTAAATAATTAAATCAATATGTCTTTTTGAAAAGGAAACTGAAGTTTTTTTCAGGTTCCTATGCTCTACTTGTTTTGTGAAAATTATCAGCACCCTGTACATGGTGAGAGTGCCAGAGTTATTTAAACTGCTAGAAAGAACACTCTTCTAATCATACTGTGACAGGGCCAGCTAACTAGGATTGGTAGCCAAGCTTGGCAAATGGGAAAGCCTGTGTTTATGGTAACTAACTGCCAAACAACTGAGGTTTGCTTTTAAGGTTTGTTTTAAGTCGACATTTAAGAAAAAAACCCTAACAAACTAAGGGGGAAAAAAAATCAAACTGACTGTTCTTCATAACTGCAGAGATTTCAGTACTCAAAGTGAAAATGCCAATTACTGATATTTTCATTTTCAGCCTATTGTCATTGAAAATGTTACTAATCAAAACTACAATTTCCATATTACATTTAGCTTATCAAAGGCAGTTTCAGCATATAGGTATCTTTTTTCTCTCAGAAATGTACAATCAAGAGCATATTACATCTTGTACTTCTGTCAATTTGCAGTACCTCCATGAAGATGTACAGTAGTTTTAGTGAAAGTGACAAATAACAAAATTGCAGTTTCTGGATAATTTCCAAGGGCTTTGTAGGGCTTGCTGTATAGTTGTGGTTCATGAAGTAAACAACAAAATAAACAAACAACTGCTGCCTTATACCCTATTTGAATTAAATTGAAAGTATTTTCAATAGCATACGATGCCATATTCTTTGAAAGATGCTCTTAGAAATCTGTGCTATTAGCCATTGTGGCAAGAGATATAAAACTTTTCCAAAACGACAAAGGAATATTTAAACATTTGGCTTCTTCCTTTTCTAAGTGTGCAAAATCTTTTTTTTTTTTTTTGTAAAGGAATACCTTGAATTCTGAAAAAGGAAATTTATGGCTAGTTGTATTTTTACCAAACTTCCAAAAAGATGCCCCAAATAGAACACTGTTCTATTAATCCAGGGATTAAAAATGAAACCAAGTGATTTGGTAAAAAAATTTTATTGGTATTATCATAGGAAATAAAGCTAGAGATGTTACTTCCTGGACTTTGGTTATTTTTAAAAGCATTTTTTTTTTTTAACCGTTTGACACAAAAATGAAATTTCACATGGTATATTTTTTAAAAGAGTAAGACATACAGCTCAGTTTTAAATAAAACCACTACTGGTCTTCATAGAAAGAACAGAGAAAGCATGAACACTGTTACTCTTAAGGGAAAAATAAGCTGAAGAATGGAAATGTTTTTCAACTTCATGATGGATTATGTTTTTAATAGTTTTGCCACAACAAAGCATTTTATTGAAATAGCTGCTCTGTGCCAGATCAGGGCACATACACCATTATTTTAATGAGCTTTAACAAGAACCCACATTCCCAGATGAGAGAATCAGATTTTTTTGAGCCTTTTGGTGGGGTGGTCAGGGGTAAGGGTAGCTTACTTGTTTTTCAAAAGCAGTTGGCACCAGTCGTCTCAACTCAGATAAACTGTTATTTATTCGATCTCGACGCCTTTTCTCTATTATCTATTCCAAAGGAAGCAAAACAATAACAAAAGTTTTTGAATACACAAATGCTAAATTTACTCTTAATGGAAGAATACAACTGTTACACATTAGGCTGCATTACATGAAATAAAAAGAAAAAAAAAATCACATACCCCTCTCCTTTTCTTTCTTGCCATAATCTGAGATGTTGTTGTTGGGGAATTTGATCTAATCACAGAGCTAGTACTTTGCCTATGAAATAGGAACAGTATGTCAGGTGCTGCATTATCATAACAATGGTTTCTTCTGGGTGCTTCATGGCATCCATTAAATATTGAGTGATTGCACAGTTCAGTTCTGTGTTTATTCTTAATTCCTACTTTTAACATACTTTGTTTTCAGTCCTTATATCTACTTTCAGGTAAGAATCATGCCCTCCCCCCCCTTTTTAACAAGTCATCCAGACACCAAATCCATTTGCAAAAACATCTCTAAACTTTTAAGTCTTGCAGTGAAAAACTTACGAGCAGTCAGAGTGAGAAGTCAGTTATTAGTACTTCCTAGTTCCACTCATAAAAATTTCTTAAAAATCAACTAATCCCTAATAGCATCCCTCCTCCAACCTCCGGTCAGACACACTAAACAAAGCAAAGCTATTTTAAAATAAAGGCCATGTTTAGCACCACTATCAAACAGATAGACAGTCATCACATGTCAAACTGTTGTCCCTAATGCAATCTTCAAAATAAAAAGAAGTTATCTTACTATTTCAAAACTTCAGTCAGTCATATCTCACAACAGGAAAAAAAATGACAAATGTAATGTTTTGTATACTAATCTTCCAAAAGAATGCCCAAATTAAATATGCCACTGATAGGGAAATTAAAATGAGATTAACCACTAGGTAAATGTTTTACTTTGAAAATGAAACTGTAGGTATCTCCTAGTCTTCAGCCTAAGCTTAAACCTCTAGAAGCTGCAATCCATCTTGAGTTTACTAATGAAAAAATATTTTGTATTGAAAATTCAATCAAATCATTATTTTGTCACTTACAGCTTTTGCCATCCTTTCTAGTTTGTACATGTTTCTCTTCATAATTCATGGATACTATGCTTCTTTATGTTCTCAAATTCTCCAGATTCCTGTTATTTGTCCTCTTTCATTTTAGGACTGTTGCACACACCAGGTTCTTATTACCTCACCTTCTCACTTCTGGATCTTATTTCTGAATTAAGTGTCCCCCTCAGTCCCACCCCATCCCAACTGGTTTCGGCTTTCACATGACTTCTGTTTTTCAGATCTCATTTTTTAAGATGACGCACACTTTAATAATTAAAAAGATCCTTCGCAAGCAACGTTTCATGTAAATATCTCTGCTGTTGCCGATTTCACGCTTTGGTTTGTACTTATTAGAATAACGATGTGGAAAGAAAACCAGTTTTCCAAAGGTAGGAAGAATTTTGCTCTTTGAGTGACAGCTGCAGATAAATAATTAAGGAGCTTGTGGGGATGCCAATTAGAAGCAATTATCATTTGACCCGCCTTGGCATTAAAATGCCTCGGTAATCTCCCTCTGTCACTGGAAAGTAGAGGTCTGGCTTCTGTGATCACGACCCCGATCTTTTCCAGACTTAAGAACAAGCAGTCAAAGAGATGATCTATGCCCCAAACGATCCTTACGTCTGTCACTCACTCTCCCGTCAGGCCACTCACACATAGTCAACCTGGAAAGCTCAACCTACTTGGCCTTAAAATTGCAAATTGCTTTAATTTCTCCAAAAGGCAAATCATCTTTTTAGACTCTTGAAAAATAAAAAATATATATATCAATCTGTTTCTCTCTTCGCCTGGCCTATCCTGGAAGTGCTCCCGCAGTTTCAGTGGCGGGGGCGTCGCCCGTCGCCAGCGCCTCCCTGTCCGCGCTCCCAACGCTGACAGCCGGGGACCCTCCCTCGCCAACTCCTGCGCTGTGGTTCAGTCGCGTCCCCCTTCCTCTCCGCCCCACCCCTGGTGTGAAAACCGACATCCCCCGCCCCACCCCAACGCACGCTCCGTGAGCGCCCACCGCTCAAAGTTTCTCGGGCAAAACTTTCCCCGCTTCGTTAGGACGTCGCGGAGAGGAGCCTCGGGACTTCCAAGGAGCCGCTCGCGCACAAAACTCCCCGATGCCTCGGGCTCCGGGCAGTTCCCGTCGAGCCCGCGCTCACCCCGAGTAATTGTTCTCGCTTCCCACGTCGATGGTCTCGTCCATGTCGCTCTCGGAGGTCGTCTCCTCGCAAGGGCGCTTCATCGCGGCGAAGACGGCGTGGGGAACAGCCCAGCCCGAGCCACCAACGCGGAGCGGGGCGCAGCGCCCAGGGGCCCTGCCAGCCTCCTCCCTTCCTCCCTTCCTCCCTCCCTCTTTGGGTCCGGGAAGGCGCGGCTCCCGCGGCGGCGCGGTCGGCTCCTCGCGGCTGTTTCCCACGCCGCAGCCGGGATCGGCCGCAAGAACCGGCGCCGGC